CCCTGCCCCAAGTGCCCCGCTCCTGAGAGTGCTGGCCACAGTCCAGGCAGGTCCAGGCAGGTCCAGGCAGGGCCACTGGGGCGGTGATATCGCTAGATCTCCCACAGGGATCCCAGCAGCCCCGCCCTGTGCCCACTGCCAGGAGGGGTGGGCCGGACTGGCTGTGGGCACCGCAGCTCTCTAACAGGCCCAACCCGGGGTTCCAGGGCCAGGTCTGAGCCCGGGGTCTCGGGGAGAACCTGCTGCCAGGCCAGGGTCAGGGGGCTTCTGTGGGGCTGGTGACAGGCGTCCAGAACTCTACAGCTGCGGGCATGGACCCAGGAGGGGGCAGTGGTATCTTCCTGGCCCCCAAACTAACTTGTTACCATCAAGTTGATCCAGACTCCGGAGACCCCCATACGACAGAGTATAGCTGCTTCCGGAAATTCTCGGTAGTACAAACAGTCAGCGCTCACCTACTACCTTACATCATCTGTTCAAACCCATCCAGAGGCCCCTTAGGAGACAGGATTGACCTGGCATGCAGTTGGCTCGAGACGGACACGGTTCTGCACCCCATAACAACTTAAAACAACAACAGGCTTTACAGAAGCCAACCAATGGCTTTTCTTCCTTAGCCCTATGAGTGGGATTGAACTGCCAGCCTTTAGGTGAAGAATGGAGCACAGGTTTCAGCTCCCACCTCCTGACAGCGCTGACTTACAATCTAACGGTCACAAATGTGGACAAAAGACTCTAGTATCCTGGATGGGGGCCAGGCCCATGGGAAGCACCCACCCCCAGGCAGCCCACCCAACATTCCTCACCTGGGCGCTCTGTTTACACCTGACACTGTAAACCCCCAGGGTGGGTGGACCAACTGACTCAGCAGGCCCCAGGCGGCCAGGATTAGGGGGCGGGGGGGACTGACAAGGGGCAGGGCCGTGGGGGGCAGCAATGTGCAGTTCCCCCATTCTCTCCTGGACCCCATCCCAAGCCAGTCAAGCAGCCCCCACCCTCCTGAGGACCACCTATAAGGTGCCTCCTGGGACCCATGGGGCAGCTGGAGGAGGTTCCCCTGGAAGGCCCCTCCAGGCCCTCTGCTGCTGCCAGGGTCCCCAGCCTCTCCAATGTCCCCCGCTGACCCTGCCCTGCTGCGACACCACTCAGTTCTGCTGCCCAGGCAGACCCACTGTGCCCCCCCCACACACACACACACGTCTTCCTAACCCCAGCCCAGACCCTGGACTATCTCCCTCTGCTGGTGTATACTTAAGCACTACTCCCTCACACATAGGATGGCCATCCCACTGGCTTCTGGGTCAGTGAGTGGGCATAGGAGGATGGTGCCAACAAGGGCTCCAGGAACAAAGGGAGGGGACCCTGGGCTCAGAACCACTGTGCCCAGAACGGCTGAGCTGAGGGACCACCCTCACACCCTGACCATTGCTAGTGTCCAGTACTACCAGGGACCCACCTGCCTCGACTCCCAGGGACCATGGGGCCTTAGACACATCCCCCCCACCTCCACCCTGGGTTTCAGGATCCAATGCATACAAGGAGCTGCAGTTTGCTGGATCCAGGCCCTGCCGGGAGTCCCAAGGGACCTGGGGTGGAGCGAGGGGGGCAGCTGACAGTGAATCAGCTGGGGCGGGTAAGGCTGAGGCGCCACATTCTTGAGCTCTGTGTCACCAACGTTACAGTACTCATTCTACTGACCATGAGAGGCCATACGAGGGGCCCTGGACACAGAGGGGCTGACCAGGCCTGCAGCTCACAGGAAGCAGGACCATGGCCACGTGAGAGGGGTGGGCCCAGCACGCTGGAGGCCGTGGGCAGGCGGAGCTCCTCAAACAAAGAGGCCTTGAATTGATGGAATGGACTACTGCTGATCCTCCCACCCTCTGAGGCCCCATGCAGTGTGGCCCCCTCAGTGTCCAATATCTGGGTCCTCCAGATTTAACGTGTCTCCTCGTGTGGAGAGGGAGGTCCAGGCAGCCCCCCCCCAAGGCCTTCCAGCTCCTGCTGTCTCAACCCCCCTGCCCAGCCATCCTCGGAGACAGACACAGGCCCTTCAGGATGCCACCGTCAGCCCTGAGGCATGGGGTGCTGAGGGAGTCCCCCCAGAAGCTCTTAGGAGGGACCCCAACACACGCACCGTAGCTGAGGGCCACAGGAACTGAGACAGTGTGGACGGGGTGGTGGTGGTCATAATAAATATTTCTGAGGTGTTCGGGGAATTGCCCGCCCTCCCCAGCCCGCCAGGCTCCTGGATCCAGCTCCATTTTTCCATTTAGAAAGTGCTTCTGACTATTAAATATTGATCCGGCAGGCTTTGGCTCCAGGCTGGTGGCTTCCCAAAAAGGAACCCTAAGTGAAGGGGGGGGGGGTCAAGGAGGGTGGGGTTGGGAGCATGGCCAGGCCTCTGTGTGTTCACACCAGTCCCCTGGTCCCCACCCCTCACCTGACTGCCCTTCCTCACTTGTCATCCCAACAGGCCAGGCAACTGCCCAGGCACAACCTCATCCCTCCCTCTGAGCTGCCTTAAGACCCCCGGTTCATGCTGCTCTCAGAACACCGCCCCCTTCCAACAGCCTGGCCCCCATGCAGACCCTGGACTCCATGTGACCGTCTGTCCTTCCCTCAGTCCCCCTGACCCAGCTAGAATCCTTCCTGACTCATCTGTCTGTCCACCTCAGGCCTCCGGACCCAGCAATTAGCACCTGCCACATAATCACAGGATGCAGACAGCAAAGCAGCTAACCCTCACCTTAGCCAGACTGCAGGTGCGCACCCTGCCCACAGCCCTGGCAGAGGATGGACTGGAAGATCTTGGTTTTGTGCTCCAGCAGTAGGTGGCAGGGACCCCCAAATTACAAGAGTCCCACCTCTGCCTGGTCCTACCTGGCCTTGGCCTGAACTTTGTGCACAGAAGCCCTTGGTAACGGCAGGTGTGGGAGGAGGGATGAAGAAGGGTGGCTGGCTGGGGGAGCTGGGGACAAGCTGGTGTAAAGTGAGGACCCGGACCCAGACATGGACAATCTCAGGGAGAGTGGTCAGGGAGCAGCCAGGGTGCCTGTATTTCTCCCACCCCCCACTCCAATTACAAAACTGCTTCTCTGCTGGCCTCAGCTGTGGGTGGACATGGTCATTCCATCCACAGATGCCAGCAGTACCAGGCCCCACAGTTCCCAGCAGCCCTGAGATGTCAGTCCTGCCTGCTGTAGACGCCAGCCCCACACAGACAGGGGCCCACCACACTGCCCCTAGGAAATACTCCACAGCCAAGGAGACGGCACCAGATTCCCCCTCACGGGGCATCACCACAGCTGGGACCTCCCCTCACCTGGGACCTTCCTGTACCTAATGGAGTCTGGGGTGGGGGGTGGGGGAGGTAGGGAAGTGCTAAGGCCAAGCCAGGGTTTGCAGGTGTAAAGCAGGTCCCAGACCCAGGACCCAACTCTGCCCCTGGGGGGAGCCAGGCCTCCTTGGAGACAGAAGATGGGCTGTGAAGCCTGGACCATCAGGGTGTACTAACAACAGAAGGTTGGGATGTCCACCCTGCACCTAGGGGAGCTGGAAGGCTGGAGTGGAAGGTGTGGCCAGTGAAGGACCAGGACTGGTCAGCTCAAACCGGAGTGATCCAGGCAAATCTAGAGCATGGCCCATTGGGTGTTCCTGACTCGGCCACCAGGGGGCGACCTCCACACACAGGCTGGCTGGTGGGACCATAACATGGCTCCCTCTTTCTGAGTTTGGGACCCAGACAGGCTCTGGGATGGGAACATTGTGGGGGTCAGGGACCTGCCATGGTTGACACAGGAGGGTCAATTTGGACTGAGAAGAAGGCAGAGGATGGGGAGGGAATCGTGGTGGGAAACAGCCCGGGTCAAACTTCTGTGGCCCAGTCACAGTGCGCATTCCTGGACCCCAGCTTGTGGAGGTGAAATCTCATCCTACAAGTCTCCTACCAAATCCACTCTCAGGAGTCACTGGGCTTGCTACTCAAGAGAGGATGGCCTGCAGGCAGGACAAAAGGGGCTCCTGAGAGGTTGAGGCCCAGCCTCCCCGGGGGAATGGGATGGGGTTCCTGGGGAGCCTCTGAGCTGGTGGGGGCCCATGCCAGGGGCACTGCACCCCTTGTGCACTTTCCTCACCTTCTGCGATGTGGGCAGGGCTAGCCACAGGGACAGAGGTGGTGTCCACTGACCACCAGGGTCATCTTTCTCTGGGTGGCTTCTGACATCCCACCTGAGTGGGGGATACAGGACTCTGGGAAGGCTCTGCCATACGGCAGCCGTATCAGACCAAGCCTCCCATCCTGCCTAGTTCTCACCACACAGGAAGGGCCATGGAAACCCCAGCCCCAACTCTGCATCTTCAGGAGTCGGGGCCAGGTCTGCACCAAGGCATACAGCCCCTCCCCAGCCTGTTGCTGGCCAGGTGCCCTTGGTGTGGCATGCCGCAGTATTGATCCACAGCTGAGGGACTGTCCCTGCTGCGCCCTCCCCACCCTCCCAGATGCTGAGACACTGACCCTGGAACCAGACCCCAGAGCAGAGACAGACAGACAGATAGTGACCATTCCTGCGGATCACCCCTTGGGCAGCAACCCTCTCCGGTGCCTTGCCCAGTACCAAGTGCTCCTGACCACTGATCTCTGACCCTACTCCAACCCCTATCAAGCCCCCCAAAGCACAACCCTGCCACAGCCACTACCAAGTCGTGTGATCTAGTCACACCTCAATCACACCAGGAACCCAGCCCCAGCCCAGTCTGATAGCGCCTGACCAAGACCACCAGCCAGCCTGTTCCCCTCAAAACATGTCACAGGCTGCTCTGAAGGCCTGTCCTCAGGATCCTGGTGGTGCAAGGCCTCAAGACCCACAAACAGACACGCGGCGCTGCTCGCAAGCACAGCAGCACATGTGCTAGATGGCTCGAAGACATCCCGGAGGGTTACAGCCGAGGACAGAGGTACGGTGTGTGGCAGAGGCAGGGAGGGGAGCACGGGATGAGTGATGGAGCGCAGAGAGAGACAAGCGAGAAACCAGAGGCAGGAGCCGAGACCCGCGAGCAGAGAGCTGCAGCGATCCCGAGCGTTCCCCGCCCAAGCCGCAGCCCGGCTGCACTGCGCCCCGGCCACGCCCCGCGCGCTCCGCCCGCCCTGCCGAGCCCACCCGCCAGGAGGAAAGCAGGCTGCAGGCTGGGGGGCGCACCGCTGCCGGGGGCTCCGGACCAGGTGGGCAGCACTAGATGGAAGCAGTCGCACATGTTGGCGGCCGGTGGTGTGGACTCGCAGCGCCCGGCGCGTCCAGTCTGGGCCCGGGCTCCGAGTGGGTCAGCGGACGCGCGGCACCGCGCTTTCCTCCGCTGCCCTGGCGCTGCCGCGGGAAGCTAGACTCGGACTGCGGACAGAGCCCACGCCCCGAGACCCCGCCACCGCCACTGGCCCAGCCCCGCCAGCGCTCCGCCCGCGCCGCGCGCTGGCCACTGCGGAGCGCTCACGGGGACAGCGCCCTGGCCTCATTCAGACCATTGGCCGCCGCGCCTCCTCGGCCCCGCCCCAGTCTGATCAAGCCCCACCCCACGCCCATCCCCTAACCAGGCTTTTCCCAGACCCCTGCCAGCGGAGAGAACAAATAACCCATCCCGGTGAACCCCTATGGTCACCTTCATTGACACCATACATTGCAAGCTAGGTGTCTGCTGCAGGGTCCGAGATGGCCTTGGTTTGATCAGGGTTCAGGGAGGCACAGCAAACAGAGGGGGTGAGCTGGGGCCGTGTTCAGGGGGACAGGGGTAGTGCTGGGCCCAGTGCAGACCTCGAGTCAGCCTGTCCACGCTTCTTGTTACGAGCCCAGGGGGCAGGGAGTGAATGCGTGGTATGGGGCAGACACACACACACACCGACAGACACAACACACTAATGCACACATGTTGACACGTTGACACATTCACTGTCATACACATTTGGACACACAACATACTGAAACTAACAGACACACACTAACACTGTGACATACACACATTCATGTGTGACAGGCTGACATGCACACACACTGACACACCACACACTGACACATGCACACACACTGACACATGCTGAAACACACACACACTGACATACACTACAGACTGGTACACACACACTGACACCCACACATACTGACACATGCTGGAACACACTGACACACACCATAGACTGGTACACACGGGCATGCACACACTCTGACACACACCACACACACGCTGGAACACACACACTGACACACACCATATACTGGTATACACGGGCATGCACACACTCTGACACACACCACACACCCACATGCTGGAACACACACTCTGACACACACACACACACACGCTGACACATGCTGGAACACACGCACTGACACACACCATACACTGGTACACACGGGCATGCACACACTCTGACACACACCACACACCCACATGCTGGAACACACACACTGACACACACCATACACTGGTA